GTCAACATAATGCAAAACTTATGTATTACAAAACGATAGTACAATATATTTACTTAAAATTTAGAAGACAAATGGAAAACCTCTATCAGATGTAGCATATTTAGATTCACAAATCAAATTCTACCTTCTTTTAAAGCGGAGACATATTTCTTTAATTTTTCTCGAATAGCGTCCTTTCCTTTCGTGTGTAGAAAATGTTTTATTACTTCGCCTTCATCTGTGCTATCTTTCAAAGTAATTTCGATCTGTAATTGAAGGTATTTTCATCATCTTACTAGTAAAGATTGTATTCATACGTTAGAAAGAAACATCAATAAAATTTATTTTATTCATAATCGCACGTTTTAAACAAATCGTATTGAAGCATAGTAAAAAAAACTCAAACATTATACAACATCTAGGAACAGCAAATAAACAGTAAATTTTCGTATTAAAGTTAAGAATGAGTGAAGCATGGAAAACTAGGTATTAATTCGCCTCTTCCTCACTACTTAGGATGTATAATAAAACTGAGGATCATAGCAATATTGACACGTTCACAGTTCCGCAATCCGTTTGTGATAATAAGCGACATTGATACGATTAATGGAAACTAAGAAATGATTACATGATATTAAATATGATTAATCTCGAAACTATTTTGAAATTAGTGGAATGATATATATTATTGCTCTCGTAAAAACATTCTTTTAGCTACAATGTACATGCCAAAACAGTGAACGTGTTAAACCAGAGATTATTTATGAGGCAAGTGTTATTTACTTACATCTACTTCAGTAATATCATTCTCCTCAGATAGATTTGGAATGTTTATTTTACCCTCAATCTTCTTATCAGATTTTCCATTGAATATCCATTTTAAAACAATATTCCATTCATAGAAGAAAATTAATTTACCTTTCCTATTGTTAGCCATTGCCTCACCCTCGCTTTTCTCTACCTCTGTTACCGTACATACAACTGAAAAAAATATCTATATAAATACACACACAATGTACACATACACACTTACCGACAAATAGTAGAAAACGAAATATTTAAGCAGAGATACTACAATATATTTTCTTCTACTTAAGTCCATAAGTTTCTGTTGTGCATACAATAAACATAAAATGCAAATTTAATTTATATTCATTTTTTATAAATAGAGCAAATGGTTAATTTCCATTAAAATTGTTTCATTTTTTATCTACTTTCGGTGAGTGTATGTGTATTAAAAGTTGAATAATTGAAAGTCAAATCCAATATAAATTTTATAAGAAATGAATTATTGATACAATAAACAGCTAGTATTAAAAAGAAATCAAATTGAGTTGTTTTGTATAAAATCACGCATATTCAAATGTTACTGAAATCATTTTACACATAAAATATTAAAAGATAAAAAATAAAATATAAACCTTCATCTCCTTCTATCTTCATATTGGTAAATAATTCTTTCAACTTATCCTGGGACCAGGCACAGGCATTTTTCTCCGTCCTTAAGAAAAAGATATGATCAGTTAAATAGATTGCATTATAGTTCAACAATCATTTTTCTCATGTAGTTAATTGCCAATTCATTTGAATAGTATCAATTAATTAGAGTGCAATTAATAGTAATGATATTATAAAAAGACATTGCCAGTTATTTGAGCAACTAATGCTCGTAAGCAATCATTTTTCTGTTTCAATATATGGTTTAACATACCAATGCCAGTTATTGACATTAGTGGCATCAGGCCTTTCTTCAACAATCCACCTGGGATCACCTTCACCCCACTTTGCCATCTTATAAGTGAAATAAGTAATGTATCAGTACTGCTGTAACGTCCAAATATATCAACTGTAACCAAGATGTTCCTAGAACATATAAAGCAATATTATATTGTTAAAATGATTGTAATCATACTATAAATTTTATAAAAAAATAAGATCCATTAAATTTGTAAACTGATTTAATCTTATTAAATTACCCTCACAATCATTTCAACACTTATCTGTGGATAGAAATGGGTTGATAGAAAAAAGAGAAGGAAAGATATTAAACAACTTACAAAAACATTATATTCCTTGTTTTCTATAATTTCATTGTTGACATTAAGAAATGCA